TTAGTTAAGTACTACAAAATTCAGTGTGTCTGCTTCTTCGCTGATGACACTGGAAAAAGATATGCATGCCTACTTTAATATCATCATTCAATGCATTTTTTGTTATTGTACACTGTACATATTCGATGAAAGCATGCTAACCGCTTTTCAGTACTTTCAGTACTTTGATTTAAATAAGGAAAGCATATGCAGGTTGCAAATAATGAAAAATATAAAAACAAACAGCATGTGTTACTTTTCAGAATCAAAACAAACTATTCATAGAATGAACTTGGTGGTGAAATCCGCTTTGGTTATAATATTTAAACAGTATTAAACAAATCCATGGGGTTTTTTTTGTATGGCATGCTTACAAAATATTTGCCCATGTATATATTTTGTTAACTTAAATTTTATGGGCCAATATATTAAGAGGCTGTCCACCGAAAAACCAGGCAATGGGTGGCACATCGCATGTCATGGATTTTTATAATATTTTTCATGTAAGCTAGTTAAGGGAAGTCTTTTAACATACTGATAATATTTTTTTTATTTTCTATGCCGCAAGTCGTGTTTTAGGGAATGTGTGATTTTAAATGCAAAAAGGTCAACGTGTTTTGGGAATTTCAACAAGTCATTTATATGGTCCTGTAGCTTTAACAAATTTCAACAAATGAACACAACAATCAATAATATGTGTAAAATAAACACTTTTCTGTAATTTTATGTGGGGTTAAAATAATTCTTTTCTTTATTTAAAAAAAAATGGGGTGGTCAAAAACACTTGACTTGTTTTTCAACTTGACAATATACCATATCCGATTAATATATCTCTAAAATCCAATACATTACAATCTAATTTTTTTGCATGTAATTTTTGTATAGAACATATGCTAATATAATTAAATATAAAATAAAATTGGTGGGAACAGAAGAAATAAGAAAAATATGAGGCGTCAAACTTTGTCAAATTTTCTGCAATTCGTCGCCATTTTCGCCCTTCTTTGAATAGAGTCACATAAGCCTAAAACGGTAAATTACGGGTGATCAACAACGTACATTATATATCTCAATACAATGTTTTAGATTTTATAAGATATCTATAAAATTAGAATAAAATTGATTAAGATTTTCTTTTCCATAAGAATGGAAATTGATGGGAGGGGGGGGGGGGGATTATATGCATGTAGATACGTAAAGTCCTGGTATTCATTATATATGATATATATAGATCTACAAATATATGAATTTTGTTTTTATTTTACTACACAGATATCTAAATTTTATTTTTATTTTACTTTTTTTTTCTTAAATATATTTTATTTTTTAAGTAAAAAAAAATTATAGGACTTTGCTTCCAAATAAGAAGAGGAAAGACCACAACCATGACAACAACTATTATTTATGAGCAAACATTAAAACCGAAAGTAGAGTTCGAGTTACCACCCGTTTGTTGTGATTGGAGATGGCCACATGGTTGTCGCTCACGATTACATGGTAAATTGTTTGGATAATTCAGGTTCTTGTAAAGAAAAGTACAGAGTAATATTCTTTTTCTTTTGATGATATATGTAAATTCAATGTATTTTAACACACCGGGTTTGTGGGTATTGCATGCAGCTTAAGCCTCCTGGCATTGGGGAAAAAATGAAATTGAATATTGGGGAGAGTTCAATTTATAGGAAAAATATGGAATCGTTTTTGGCAACAATTCTCACTACCTTCCCTGCCCCAAACGGCCATGATTTGAACAAATTTAAATCTTCAATACATGAGGATGCTTACATGTCAATACAACTTATCATAGCCTATGTTAAACTTTGATTGGCCTTTGTGGCTCACCCTATAGCCCTTGAGGTTAGGATTTCAACTAACTAAAATCTACACTAAGGAGGATGATTCCATATAAATATCACTAATCATGGCTATGAAGCACTTGAGAAGATTTAAAAAGATTTCCCTATATATTCCTATGTTTAAAGCTTTCATTAGCCATTGTGGCCCCACCCTTCTCTCAGGGGGCCATGATTTGAACAAACTTGAATCTACACTACTTGAGGATGATTCCACATGAGTTTCATCTTACCTGGCCCAGTGGTTCTTGAGAAGATTTTTTTTAAAATGCCATTTATTTTTCACTAATTCATAATTATCTTCCCTTGGAAGAGGGTGTGGCCCTTCATTTAAAAAAATTTGAATCTCCTTTACCCATGTAGCAAGTTTGGTTGATTTTGGCCTAGTGGTTCTTGAGAGGAGGATGAAAAAGTGAAAAGTTTACAACTACGACCTTTGGCTCAGATGAGCTGAAAAGAAGATTTTGAAAACTTGTTGATGTTTAAATGTACTTTTATTGGACTGTATATATATTTAATATCGACTTATAATAAATAACGTGCCTGTCAATTAAACTTGCTAAACTTATGAAGTATATAATAGTATACAATTAAATCTCTGTAACTTCAAGCACAACTTTTTTGAAATACATACAGTCATGCACAAGTATTTTTGAAAAATACAGTGTTTAGTAGGTTTTACTAATTTCAAAAAATTTAAAGAAGGGTATAGAATTCAGAGTTTGTCTAAAAATATGTAATTTAAATAACTTAAGAAAAACTTCTGTTTCATCACTTATATTAGCAGATATTGGACAATACTGAAAGTGCAATGTAACTAAAAAAAATATTAGCAATATCCACTACCTTTAAAGACATACATAATGTAATAGAAGGAACATTTGTACAGTTCATAAAAATACAATTTATTGCACAAGAATATTTCCTGCAGAATATTTTGAAAAAAAAATTATTGTTTATAAATTTTTTAAATGTAGAAATCAATATAATTATTCAGAAAACTTCAATTTTTTTCTTATCTGAAAAATATATGTGTTTGTAGGAAAAATGATACAAATAAAAATATGGAAGCCTGCTTGGATTGGAATATATATTTTGATCTATTTCGGTTGTAAATGATTTGACTAGTTTGAAAACCTTTGATGTTCAAAATTTATCCTGACTAAACTAAAGCTACCGGGTATCCTTATCAATCGATACAACTTTTTGTCACTTAAAATTCTTTTGTTGTGAAACTTTGCTTGAAAAGTCTGCGCAGTTTAACTTATTCATTTAATTAACTTGCTTATAGCATATATATACAGTATTTCATTCCAAAAAATATCTAGCATGATAATTCATAAATGGGCAAAAAAACATCCATAGTGTAAGACTGCCATAGAGTCTGTCAATCAAATAAAAATGATTCCCAACCCCATAATGATTCATTAAGTTGAAATCCACAGGCAACACAAAATTTAACCTGCCAAGATCTGAGAGACAGCTGTATTACAACATTTAGTAGACATTTTTAGACTACCTAAGCTGAAAGTTCTTAGAATGAACGGTATAGTGATTTTGGTGGGGTTTCAATTTTGAAACTTAATTTTCCTGCTTAATTTCACATAGTGATTGAATCAGGTTCCTTTCATTTTGTTCAAGTTCAAGATGATGTAAAACTGCATTGAGGTCTTCATCATCTTCACTGGTTTGTAATGCAGGATGATGGAACCTTGAAAATAAGCTTTGAACTTGCTGAGAACTCAGCCAGTCATCTGCTGGAAACCTCCGATGGCCATCCTCCTGACGAGCACATCTGATCAATTTTGATGCCTCTGTTGGGCTGTACTTCCTACCACTTCTTTCCCCGTCCAAGAACAAGTTGTAGACAAACTCTTTTACAGCAACACTAAATCGTTTGTTCACTCTCTTGCCCTTTAAAGCCCATCCTTTTGTAACTGACACTAAGGTTTTCTTTTCATGTTCTTCATGTGCATGAATAGGGATAATGGATTTTTTAATGCCCATGCATTTATCAGTCCACAACATTTTCACTCTGTCTTCGATAGTTACATTGTGGTCACCGATATCGTAATGTAGTTGTAGGTCAGGGAGGGTCAAGAAAGTTACATTGCATTGTAGACAGGAGTAGCTGATTTCATCATGTTCATTTTCCTACAATTGAAATAAAAATTCATTAATTTTAAAAAAAAGTACAACCTGGTTTTAACAAAGTAACTGGGGCGTATGGAATTAAATTGCTATATCTGTTATTCGTTATATCTGTATGAGGAATTCTTATATGTTTTAAGATGGGGGCCCAAGATTACTTTGTTAAATCTGTGAATTCGCAATATTCATGTTCATACTAAACAAGTTTTACTGTAAAATGATATCGTTATGATTTTTATTTGCCAATTTATATTTATTCACTTTATTTCAAATTGTGTTTACTTTATGTTGCTTTTTAAATTATTCCTTAATTAATCAGATGATAGGTCTAAAATGAATGCATACTTGAACCTCTCCTTTTGTTTTCTCAATGTTTTGCAACTCTGTCTCATTTTCTTCAGTTAATTCTGTTGTTTGCTGAAAAGGGATTCACAATATAAATTAATAGAAAAAAAAATTGAGTACAAAGTCAAAAAAAAAGATTTTTTTATTATCATTAAACATACTGAAATCTTTAAAAACTCGGTTTCATTGAATAAATAATTCTTAAAAGTACATGTATAAAGATGTTATAGAAAGTAATATTGTTCAAATGAAATGTAATAACACAAAAAGTAATAATCCAAAGAAGTGTGTTTGTACATCTTGTGCTGTACATATTACATTCTGTGTTGATAAGGAGGAAAATTGTAATGACAAAGCAAAATCCAATACTCATGGTTTAAATTATTACATTTTGCTTTGCTCTAGTTTTATTACCTGATTCATATCCTTACTCCGTTTTGTTTTTCTTCTATGGGAAATTTCAACAGCATCTGTCTGCTCTTTTTTCTTGGGGTGAAGCAGTATCTTTAATAAATTTATTAAAATTACAAGTATTTGAAGCATATATTTAAATTCAAGAGGAAGATTAAATTAATTATGTGCATAATACAAAAAATATTTATTTCATATTTATCCTTAAAAAGTTTTACTAAAAACTGATTAATAATTGTTTTACTGGATACATCATACCTTTTAACCAGTGTCGTCTTGTTTTCCAATCATCTTTCTGTTTAATTCACCAGTAGATATGAACTTGCCCTCTCCAACATTGTATGCTTGCCACATCCTAAGCCCATCCTCTTCATAACAAAAGTTATTGAAGTTGTTGATGAATGGAATAGGACATTTTTGCATCGTCTGTTGATCAAAATCAACTTCTGCTAAATAAACATGGGTGTCCTTGACCCCGCCATAACTTTCCAGTGCTTCTTTCATCTCTTCTCCTGTGGTAATGTTGTGGCCCTCATTTCCGTATCTTTTCATATGTATTTTTAATGGGGCTATCCGTCTGTCGCAAATATCTTTGCCGCTTTGTGCCTCACTAAAGTCGTATCGACATACTTTGATTCCTGTTCTCCTTGAAATGTCAGGGATGGCCGATATTAATGGCCCGCAGTGATAACAGCGTGCGTTATCACTTTTTAGATAGGCACACTTCAGGGACTCATTTTGGTCTTTGACAGTGAAGAGGAGATGTTCCAGGATGGAGGCAACAGAGAACCAGGTCTGTGGTGCACTATCCAACAGATGAACAAAACAATCTTTCTTGAGGTGGTCCTTCTCCTTGCTGATGGCCACAGAGATATGCCAATTGATCCCCTTTTTCCCAAAGAAGTCTGTCTGCTTCTCACGATCTATCCAGGGCAAATATTTCATGGCCCAGTCCATGGTTATTAAAACCTCGTGCCTTTCTAAGGTCTGCAAAATGTTCTGTTTGGCTTCTTCCTGGCAAACATTTCGCAAAACATGTTGTTTCCATTGAATGATCTTCTCTTTACACTTTTGAAAATCATGAATAAATTCTCCTTTGATATCCGAAGTTGGAAAAAAGCCATCAATAATAATCTGTTCAAGATCATCCAGAACTGTTAGTTGGTCTGTACAAAAATTGCAGACATCATTGTGGTCATGGGAACATTGCGAAGAAAGTTCAGGATGTCGATGATCACTCAAGGAGTAATCAATACAGTGATCTGGAATAGATGTTGATCTCTGAATATGCCATCTGTTGTCACAGGACAAATAATGTTTGCTAGCACGAAGTCTGTTCATGATATCCTAAAACAAACAAAAATGGAATGAATGTTAACACTTTCTAAAGATTAACTGATAATTGTCATTCACTATAGATTATAATTGTCATACGATTTTATACAATTTTGAATTTTTTCTTTATATCTTATTGTAATTACCTCTGATTTGGTTGGCTGAAGTCCATAGCTCTCCATGGATTCAGTGACAGAAACTAGCTTCTCAAAGGAACTAATGCCATCTGCGGTTGTGTTATCTAGTCCACTTAGACTTTTCCTCTGACTCGCAGCACATCTGTTCAATAAGCTATACAATGTAGATCTACTGCATGGAGAAAACTCAGTATCTTTACAGTAAGACAAATAGCATGTTATTATCCTGCTCCCAATAAGTGTTCTCACAACATCAGGTATGTGGATGCTTTGACCTGTGGACAACTTTATGGTCCGCTCACCATAGGCTATGTCTTGTATGTAATGTGGCTGCGAAAGGAAATCTACAAAATGTTCAACCTTATCAAATGGAAGTCTTGAAAATGCAGATTTTTGGGTCACCTCAGTGTTTTTGGAACTTGTATTTGCATGTTGCCTAGCTGTGTCAATTCTCCATTTTGTCATTCCTGGTATAGACTGAAGAAGCAGCTCCTTTGGATATTGATGAGAGAAAAGAGAGAGAAGTTCTTTTTGGTGAGCTGGTGAATCAGAGGCATCCTCATATGCTTTCACGAAAATCTTCAGCACTCTTTCGTCGTCATTATTCCATAAAAATTCTCTTGAGAATAGTTCTTTAATTAGAATATGAGATTGGGATGGAGCGATCATCTCGAATAGGTGGAGGACAATATCTTTGGAAATCTGAATGTAGTACCTTTGTGTCCTTACAGATGCTTCTTTAAAGGATGTTGTTAATTGGGACCTGAAAAAGATTATTAAAATCAGTTATATTTACTGAAAGATGTAATAAGATGAATAGACAGCTCTTCATATTTTTTACTCTGAATTTGTGACCAAACATAGCTTTGTTGTTCTTGAGGAGTTTTTTTATTTATAAAATTGTCCTGTATATTCCTATGTAAAACTGTGCTCATCCATTATGGCCCTGTCCTCCCCATTAGCCAAGGAGGTCATGATTAAAACAAACTTTTATCTATACATGTACTACCTAAGGAGCTATCATGGCTTTGCTTTTCTTGAGAAAAATTTTTAAAAAGAATTTTCCAATGTTATTTCTAAGTTAAACTAGGATCAGCCATTGTGGCCCCACTCTTCCTCTGGGGGTCATGATTGGAACAAACTTGAATCTACACTACCTGGGGATGATTTCCCACAAGTTTATCGTTCCTGGCCCAGTGGTTCTTGAGGAGAAGATTTTAAATCCATGCCACCAAATTTTCACTATTTCTGAATAATCTCCCCTTGAATGAGGTTGTGGCCCTTCACTTAAAATAAGTTGAATCCCCATTACCCAAAAATGCTTTGTGGCAAGTTTGTTTGAAATTTGGCCAGTGGTTCTGGAGAAGAAGTCGACAATGTGAAAAGTTTACAGACAAACAGACAGACAAACGACAAACAAAATGCAATCTTTAAAGATCATGTGAGCTTTTTCAGCTCAAGTGAGGTAAAAACCCAGACAGGCTTCAAAATTCTAATGACCTCAACATCCCGTATAATTTAAACAAGATGCCCATGGGCCACAATGCTCAGCTGAGTAAATTTGGTAATGTTCTTTATTAGACACCGCCCCCCCCCCAAAAAAAAAAAATGTATTGTGACACACCCTACCCCCAAGGGTCTTGATTTGGATAATTTTTAACAATCTACACTACTCCAGTGAGCTTTAATATAAGTTTCAGCTTTTCTGGCCCAGTGGTTCTTTAAAAGAAGATTTTTTAATGACCCCACCCTCTATTTGTCTTTTCTTGATTATCTCCCCTTGTGAGGCGACTAGGTCCTTTACAATTTATTAAATGAGCTCCCTCTACACAAGGATGCTTTGTACTAAATTTGGTTAAAATTGGCAAAGCGGTTCCTGAGAAGAAGTCAAAAATGTGAAAAGTTTACAGATGGACTGACAGACGAAAGGACAGCCAAAATGTGATCAGAAAAGCTTACTTGAGCCTTCTGCTTATTGAAAATCAGAAAATAATACACTGCCTGTATTTGAATGCAAATTTTATATTTACCTGAGAGGACTACAGTTCCCATTGGATATGAGGTGAATTACATTGTTAATTTTATCCAGGTCTGATGTCTCTGGTTGCCACTCCTCGTGACTGCTATGAGTACTCCTGATTGTAGATTGTGAAGAGAACTCTGTATTGAATATATATATATTTATTTCATTTTTTGTTTAGTTTATCAGTATTTTAATTTTTGAAGCAATTGAAACATCAAACTCTAACTCATAGAAGAATTCTTAACCATTTTCTTTGTTACCTATAAAGTCATCAGATATTTGACTCTGGGAACAGGGGGGCATTTCCTTCACAAATGAATCATTTTCAGCTTCATCTCTCTCTACAAATTAAAAAAAAAATTAAGAACTCTCCCACAAATTTTTGTATCTGGATATTAAAATGATGAACCTTAATATTCTTGTTAACTTAATTATAAACTTATCTGTCTCATTTAAAACACAAAACAAAATATAGTAGAATCTAATACCTAATCTGTTATTTGACACCTGACTTTTAGAGCAGGAAAGGACTTCCATCAAATAACCTTTTTCTAAAAAAAAAAATTAGAAACAACTTATAAATTCTCATTTTTGTTAACAATTGGAAATGGTTTTCATGCTCAAAGTTCAGTAGATTTTGTTTAAATTAGATTGAATACCTATATCTCAGTACCAAGAGTTTTTCAGAAAACCACTTCTTAATTTATTAGTATTTTCCTTCTTTATATAATATTTTTGGATATCTCAAATTTCTAAGTTGATCACAATAAATCTGAGGTGACAAAGTTTATTTTGTATTTGTTTTAATTGATAAGAAGTAGGTTTCTTTATTGAAGAGATATACATAATATAATGCTAATATACATCTGTATGATATTGGTTTTTGATCCTAATACAGAACATCTCTATAAAAGAACAGCTTTACCGGTAATTTAAAATACCATATTCTTGAAACATACCATTTTCCTCAAAATAGCCATGCGGATTTTTAGAAATTGGTTGAAGATTTTCTTTTACTGGATCCAGCTTTCTTTTCTTCACTCTTTTCAACCTTGTATCTTCATCTGTTGAGACTGTAAAAATTGGTACTTATTAGAATAGCAAGTCACCAGTGGTCCTTTAAAAGAAGTCGAAAATGTAAAAAAAATTACAAACGTACAACAACACAGATGAAAAGATGGTATGCAAACAAAATGATCAGAAAAGTGCATGTGCACTTGATTTTTATCTTAAGAGAGCTTATAAAATGTGTATATATTTTCTAAATGATAAACTGACTGAATTTGTTCATACTTTGTAAACAAAAAAAAAATGCATTACAAATAAATATTTAGTCTAGGTTTTAAAGTTGTAAGATAATTGAATTTCTGAAAAATATTTTATGAAATAAGGAACCTTTGCACTTAGAAGGGAGTCTTTCTGCCAGTTCATTCTGATGTTCAAGCCTGCATACTTTACATATCCCTGTAAATATATAACAATATATTTGTTCAATGTATTTGATTACTTTAGAAATTATTCTGCAATCATTTATTAGGCTGCAAAAGTTAGCATGTAATAATATATCAAATTCATATCACAATACAGTGTTCTGGGAATGAAATATTACATTCCGAATTTTATTTCATTACTATAGGAATATATACTTGATGTTAAAATTGCAATCACAATAACAGAGTACAGGTATTTTATCTATAAAATATAATTTGTACTGGATGCGGTGATCTAAAATTTGAGCAAAGAATTTTTACAGATATTTATCTTAATGTATATTGATTGCAAGCAATTCAACGATGAGCATTGAGTCTTGTCTCTCACATAATTTATTTGGTGTACCTGGTGTCCTTTTATGTTTAAAGAAAAAAATTAACTCTCATTTAAAGATGATCATGCTGGGGTTGCTTATGAACACTTTTCTAAACTAGAAGAATAAAATTATGATTTTGTTATATACCAAATAAAATAACCAATTAAATACCCGCTGATTGCTTCAAATGGAGTCCAATTATTTAAGGGGGGGGGGGCTATTCTGACCCCCCTTCCATAAAGTCCATGTTTTGAGGAAAAAACGTCAATAATTCAAGTAAGTTCTCAAACATATTTTACAATCATTTTATATAGGATTGTTAACATTTATTACACATGACCGAAGATTTATTTGCTTTGTTTACTTTTGTTTTATTTTAGTGTGGCGCTCCAAATGTAAAATCTGTAAATGACGAAATATAAGATATATATGTCTACCCCCTCTATACTATAAAAGTTCCTGTGGTTTTCTAGTGTATTCTGTTTGATTCTTCTTGTATGAATAATTATATTGATGATGACAAAAAGCTTACCTGACCCTACCGGTACATGCTCAGCATACATGATGCAGATATCTCGGGACAAGGCTAGGCTGACGGTGCGGTCAGGCTTGCATTTCCCTTTGTGGCCGGGATATGCACAGTTTTTATTTTTGGGCCTCCAGTATATGCCCAGATGGTCTCGGTGGGTCTTGCATATTGATCTGTCATTCACCGGCGTTGTATCGTAAGGTAAAGTAAAGTAAGATAGGCCAGCTCTGTTTAGAATTAAGTGTGCTTCGGAGATATCCTCAAAACTACATTTGAGATATCTCAGGTGGCCGACTGTGGACTTAGAACAACTGCTGAGGGGCACTATCTCTCCAGAACAGCCGCCCCTCTTCTCAACGAAGCAGACGTCGGCTGCCATATTTGTTTACAAGTAACTAGGTCATATCCGCACAAAATAGTAAAAATTCGCCAGATTCACCAGAAAAATTTACAGTACGTATAATTTACATGTAAAAAATTATATAATTGTATTTATGAATATATTTATTAAATATATTTCCTATTTCCTGTTTTCTCATAGCTTTTGATATCAAGGGAGGTAACTCTTTTGTCAACAAGTTGACGAAAGTTGACTTCTATTTTTTAATATTTTTAGTGTTGTTTAACCGTTTCCCACCGATTTTATTTCACAACCTTAAAAACTAATCATATTTAACTTGATTTTATCAAAAAAAAAATTCTGCTTGAAATGTATTAGAATGTACAGCCGTTTGTTTTGGAGCAAATTACAATGGTTTATATAGGGAAAGATAGAGAAGACAAATGTTATGATATTTTCTTGTCTACTTTGTTTTGGAATAAATTCACATTTACATAGGTCCAAATAAAGCATAACAATACTAAATGTACATTAAAAACCAAAATTCCTCATATTCGATGTGCCGCCTATTAATGCAATACTGCCTGGTTTTTCGGTGGACTGCCTCTTAAGCAGTTGTCTTATATCAACGAACTAGCGATGAAAATTAAACGAAACTGTTGATATCCCTATTTTCCAAGATTTCTTTGTCAATGACTGGCGGTGTTTAGAAATTCTATAATTTTTATTTTATTATTATTAAGTAGGCTAATTTCAAATGTTAGGATATATATTACAAAAATCAATAGGATGAGTTAACCATGCATCGGACACATACCTTGCTTCGGACAACTTTAGACAATAAACCCTTTTTCAACTTAAGAGTTCTGTGTATTTATTTGTTTCTAACTTGAAACTGAAGATTAAAATTTTTAAATGATACCAATTGTTTTTATCATGTTGTGACAAAAATACTCCGAGAATGGCCTTGAAGTTACGTCATATTTTACATCATCAAAGGGGAATAACCAGAAATTTATGATTATGCATATTTTTATATTTTTAGATTTATCGTTCTTTTAAATTCGACTTCAACGGAACGAGTCAGACTTTCGTAAAGTTTGTCAAAGATTGGTAATTCTACATACATTTTAAAGAAATTTCACTTCAATGTTTGTGTAATTCTTTTTAAAGCTGGGTTTTACTAGTATCTTTATTTTTCCGTACATCGGACACAAATTAACCATGCACCGGACACTTTCCATTGCAAAGGTAAGCACTACCATTTCATACAGAACCCAGCTGACAGCTGATTTTTGCAAAAATAGAAAATAAAAACTCTAAAGTTTCAGTAAAAAAAAACAAGTTATCGATATATGACGTCTAGAGTCTGACTATTTATTTATTTTTCCAAACCAGACTATCTGTCCCTATGAGAAAAAGGCGCGAATTACAGCATTACAAGCATTTTTAAAGCAATTCTAAGGCAAAGTGGGGCATCTTATATCGTCAATTAAATTTAAGTTGAGGGTTATTTCTAAGATAAGATATAAAAGATATCCATATCAAGGATTATAAAGCACTGTGATAAAGGTATGATATATTTTCGGTCGAAATACCGTCTGTCCGATGCATGATGAATAATGTCCGATCCATGGTAAATTTTGATTTATTTGGAAAAAAAATCAATTTTTGGTGATATTTCCTCAAAAAAGGCATCTAATTGTGTTCCAAATTTATATTTTAATCACATACTAGATGTTAGGCTCCATTTTGATAAGTTTCCATCGGTAGCGATATCGCTTAAAACTTGATGAAGTACAAGGATGTCCGATGCATGGTGAATTCACCCTAAATGAAACTTCTATTAAATGAACATATATAATCTAATCAAATTTTAGGTTTTAGGTGTCTAAAAGCATATTTCATCGACTCAATCAAAAAAAAAAGTTTTCGAGCATTGTAAAAGCAACTATTTTCGTGAGGGCTTAATTTCAAGGTTTTCGTAAAACAAATATTGGTTTGTGGAGATTTTACGTCGTGGTAGGAAAATGTTAAATAGTAATGCATATAAAATTTTACATTTCGTGTTGGTAATAAATTCGTGGGTTTCTCCATACGCCAAAAACATCGAAAATGAAACCCAGAGAAAGTTAGGCATTTCACAGTATTTCAAAGAAGTTCTTTTCATAAAGTGGAAAAATAAGATTGTACAGGTATGAAATAATCAGAACCTTCATCAATTTATGTTTTTAGTTGATTCGTCTAACTTTTTGAAAAGTTTTAATATTGCAACACGCTTCAAATTATTATATACACCATCACAATTCGTAGGACATAGGTAATTAAAGATTACGCGATATAAATACGTCATGATTTACGCCAATAGTGACGTCATAATAATAAATACATACCGTCCATCCCCCGCCCATTGTCTCCATATCGCAGTAGACTCGGACAGGACGTGTGAGGGTCCTAAAGGGGTATATTACATACAATCCGGAATTCGTTTTACCATTATCATGAAGATCCTTACAGTCCATGGGAAGAACTAAAATAGAATTAATACACTAGTAACCCCAAAACGGTACAGGGAATTTGTTTTAAGATTGCTTGATGCGTGAGTTTTAAAATGTTAAGAGTTTTGTTAAATTGTCATTTGTAAGAATGTGTATTGAATTCATCTTTAGCTACTGGTTTATTACACATTGTATAAATAAATGGAGGAATTTCAGCGATGAATGGATTCACACCTTTTATTGAACAATTAATATTTTGATCTTTTTGGGGGATTTTTAAATTTCTGTTTTTGTCTGTTGACTTTGTTTTTAACATAAAAAATAATTTAACAATTTTGGACTGTACGTCAGGTTAGATTGAACCCTCTTAGAAATAGAGTATTTACCATCACAATTGTCACCGACGTAACCAGTGGAACAGTTACACCTGTACCCTCGAGCAATGGATTAATCTGCTTCACAAGTAGCTCCATTCTTACAACTATGGCTCTCACATACTTTATCTACATAAAGAGGTATTTAGATACTTTTTTATATAATTATTGCAATATGATAATTAAACCATTCAACGTCCACAGAAGAATAAAATCGTCATCTTCATTCAAACAATTAAATTGTAAAACATTTTTGGATGTATGCTTAAAAGTTCTCCCATATACATGTATTTTTTTTATGGTGAAAAGTATCGAGTGATAAGAAAAGGATATAAGATTTCGGATTTACACTGAGTAAAATGAATACCTTCCCAACTTTCCCTGATATAACCCAAGACACAGTTATAAGTATAAGCTCGATCACTGCTCTGATCCGCTTCGCAATTAGCTCCATTCTGACAGACATGGCTATCACATACCTTGACTGCAGTGATGACTATCTTTATATAATAATCCTTATTAACTTAATTAAGCAAAGAATTCAAAACGTTCGTTTCTTTTGAATTGATAAAGATCTCTTCTTTTCTTATTTGTATTTTCGAATTTCTATTCAAAGATTTCATGATCCTTTCGGCAATTTTCAAAACCAATTTCATTTAGTACATTTAGTATGGTGATAACATGTATCATTTGTAGTTCATGCATAAGGGTTTGCAAAAGCTGAAGTGGAGACATAATAATTTTTCAGTTACGT